TACACCTGTGTAGTCGAGCAGAAAGGCCAAAAAAAAAGTCTGTCAGATTTATTGATGGGACAGTCATTGGCTGCCTTAGCAAAAACCATTTCCATGGATACGATAGGGATGCAAGAAAATGCAGACTGTGCTCCTGACTTTGCTTATGAAATTTGACTCCATAGGAGAATGGAAGGCAATGGGTTTTGGTAGATAAGAATCTGCTGTATAAAGAGATTTTGTTTCTTGAATGAGAGAGGTTTGGGTATGCCTAATATCAGGAGAGAGAGAAAGTGAGATGCCCTGAGAATGTGAACTGTTTTATCTTTAGCTGGGATGGACATCTCCTTCACATAATAGAAACAATTAAGGAAAGACCCCCTTTACAATAGTTACTATTGCTAAAGAAATTGTGAAAAGCTAATTTTTGATGTCTTATACACCTGCAAGGCAACATTCAGTTTCTTTAGGCCCAGGTAGATGTAAATGGAGCTGACTTTTGATAGGTTGTAAAGACTGTAATTTACTCTTGGTATCATGAACATCCAGATGGTTCCTTTTTGTGTCCTTCACAAGTGGGAGTGGGCAGGTGAAGGAGAGCAAATCCCAGATCCTGGTTATTTCTAAGACTGGGAACCTGCCCTGTCTCAGCACAGGTCTGCCTAGCAGGCCTTCTTACCTGCTCAAGCACAGCACCTGCTGCTTCTCTTATATCCTCCTTTTCTTTTTACAAAATAAGAGATTGCAAAATTTTAGAACATACCAACAAGCAAAGAAGTAGTACCACACTTTATCCCATAATTCAGAGATTGTATGTTTGTGTATAAATATACATTTTTTTCCAGTCTCTTCATATACAGACTCACACAATATGGGTTTGAGATTTTCTTTCTTCTTCTTCTTTTTCTTTTTTTCAAACAGGGTCTCGCTTTGTTCTCCAGGCTTGAGTGCAGTGGCATGAATGAGGCTCACTGCAGCCTTGACCTATGGGGTTCAAGTGACCCTTCTGCCTTGCTCCCCTCCTTCCCCCCAGGTATCTGGGACATAAGTGTTACCACCACACCCAGCTAATTTTTAAATTTTTTCTGTAGAGATGAGGTCTCACAGTGTTTCCCAGGCTAGTCTCAAACTCCTGGGCTCAAGCACTCCTCCCATCTTGGCCTCCCAAAGTGCTGGATTTACAGGCATGAGCTATCGTGCCTGGCCTAATTTGATTTTTGCATCTCAAACACAATGTTTGGTACATGGTTAAAGTATAACAAATGTAGGAAGAAAGGAGGAAAATGATTGGTGAGATAGATATTTGTATCTAAATTCTCATGTGCTTAGGTCTTTTCTGCCAACATCCAAAGCAAAGCCGAAATGTCAATAGCATATTAGAAGTGTTCCATGATTGAAATATAGGTGTGAGTCAGTCACTAGACAGAATTTCATGTGTATGGGTTTTTGTTATTACATGATAACATTCTTTTGTATTCTTAGAGAGCAACTTCTTCAAGGGTCCGGCTTTATGATGTTGTTGCAGTTTTTCCAAAGACAGAAAAACTTTTTCATGTGAGTAACAGATAAGTAAAATAGTGTTTATGTGTTAGATAAGAAGTCCAATGTTTTACTTTGTAGATGACCTGTTTTGCCTCATCTGGAAACTTTTAGCATTTGTTATTTATAGTTGGAGTTTCTAGAACCCCATAAGGGTATATATAATGGGCATTTGGTTTTCTGTTTTGTTTTGTTCATTCAGCTAACATTTGATGAGATCAGTTTGAAAGAGCCTGTTAAGTTTTCTTCTGTTTCTTTATCTCTGCTTCTTTCATTTAAAACTTCTCTTAGGTAAGTGTTGGTCCATCTCTTTCTTACTCTAAAATCACTTCAGTTTCTGCCCTTCTTACCATTTGCTGCTCCTTGGGAGGGAAGAAAGGGGCAAGGTTCTACTGTAGCATAAAAGTTTCCATCTCTGTTTCAGCTTCCTCCTTTGCATGCTCTGAGGTATAGCCTGTGTGCAAGCATGATTGCCTCAGCCTTTAGTCTTTCAGACATTCTTCAAAATCGGCCATTTGCTGATATAATCCCTCTTCTTATCTTGAGAGCCTTTATGAATTGAATTTCTTTTGTACTTTTAAAATTGCCATTTTATTGCCTTTGCAGAAGGGAAAGGAGCTTAACATGTATGCTTGTTTTGTCAACTTGAAACAACACCCTGGGCATTTTAAGTGATCACAGTAAGAAAAAAATCAACTGTAATGCATTTTACTGTGTAAAATGAGTTATAGCTACTTTTAGAAAGTTCTGAAAGTTGCTTTTATGTAGGTTCATTAAAGTGTCCATCTGCCAAAAGTATAAAATGAGGTATAGCTACTTTTAGAAATTTCTGAAAGTTGCCTTTTTCTAGGTTCACTAAATTGTCCATCTGCCAAAAGTATAACCACCAAAGGCACTACTCTGATTTTTTTTTTTTTTTTAAAGACTAGTCAAGTGCCTTAGTAAGAGGGAAACAGTAGAGCAAGGAATTCAATCTGTAACTGACTGTAAACGGTCAATTAAGATAACTGACTGTGAGTCAATTAAGATAACTGACTACCTTCAGATCAGCCTGGTCTTTGAGGTTTTAATGTTACATCAGTTTTTTTTGTTTTTGTTTTAAGCAAAATTCGTTCTAAAATCGCAGAAAGATGTTTTTCTTTCTGCGATTTTAGATGTATCCCGTAGATGGAGCTACTGACTAAGGATGCTCATGTCTGTGGTAAACATCAATAGTTTTCAAGGCATACTATCAATTCTTAATTATTTATATTAACAGAGAGAAACAGCATAAAATATTTATGGATGCCTACTCCTTTTTTTTGGTTACTTCCTTTAAAAAATGCAATTATAGGCCAGGCGCGATGGCTCATGCCTGTAATCCTAGCACTTTGAGAGGCCGAGGTAGGTGGATCACTTGAGGTCAGGAGTTCAAGACCAGCCTGGCCAATATGGCGAAACCCCATCTCTAATAAAAATACAAAAATTAGCTGGGCATAATGGCACTCACCTGTAATCTTAGCTACTTGGGAGACGGAGACACAAGAATTGCTTGAACCCAGGAGGCAGAGGTTGCAGTGAGCTGAGGTTGCACCACTGCATTCCAGCCTGGACAGCAGAGCAAGACTCTCTCAAAAAAATAAAAGGTTTTTTTTTTGATGCAATTATAGATTTTCTCAAGAATTTTGTTTTAGTTAAAGGGGTAAGTAGAAGCCAGTAATTTTTAGTCATAGAAGATACCTGTAGAACTTTTTAAATCAGACACATTCAGCCCTGACCACTGGAGATTCTGTTCCAGCAGATTTGGGGTCGATTCTGGGTATCTCTGTTTTTTCATGTCTTATAAGAAAGTATAATTCAGTGCTGAAATCACTAGTGTTCAATATAAGGAAGACCATGGGCATTTCCAAGTTTGTTAAACAACCAACAACAACTTAGTTTACTTAATAAATAATAGCAACTCAGTTGTGATTTAGAATAAAAGTTGGTGATGTACCAAGTATTTGGTTGTACATTTGATTTCTGGATTAATTTTGAAGATCATACAACTTAACATTTCTAGATCCCTTTTCTGATGATTACAGAGGCAAAGCAAGAAAGGTATACGTTTGTAAAACCTTTCAGAAACATTTACATATTTATCTCCTTTAACTTTCACAACAATCCTGTAGGATAATTAGAACAGATATTTATTACTATACCCATTTTATAGTGGAGAAAACTGAGACTCAGGCTGAGTGATTTGCTCTAAATCTCCCAGCGAGTATATTCTAAAGGAAGGACTTTGGGTTTTAGAATATATTGTAATTTTATATAGTAGTTTTATTTGTTTATCTTACTGTTTTTTTGTCAGACTCAGACTCTTCAAGTCTGAATTTACTGAACACATGCTTGATGATAGTGGATGGACCTGTCAAAAATATTTTGGAAGTTGGAAGAAAGCACGAAGTGTTGATTTTACACATATACTCACAAAGTTATATGAAAACGCAATTTTAAAAATTGGAATATCTTCCTCTTCTCTATCCAAATATTACCCGTTCCTTAAGATTAAATTGAAATGAGAGTTCTCCTGTTTTCTATAGAAAATCAATTTTAAAAGACATCTTTCTTTTAAAGCTTTTATAAGTATATCATGGTTTGGAATCAGGTCAAATGCAAGCAGTTTGTGTCTTAAGTTACATTCTATAAATGATTTTATTTGTTTGTAAGTTGATTATCTAGAATTCTAACAGGTATCTCTATAGGCATGGGATTCTAAAACTAAGTTAGGTTTCCGATATGAAGTCATCAAGCATACACACACACACACGTTTATGTCAATAGAAGTATAAAATCTAACCACCTTAAATAGCATCATTTCCATGGGACATAACATACTCTTATATTTTCTACTCAGAGTATCTGGAAGATATCTCATAGAAACTCTCTCCCTGGGATAGCAGGGGGTTGGGGGGATTGGGGAGGAATAATATTAGGAGAAATACCTAATGTAGATGACAGGGGGATGGATGCAGCAAACCACCATGGCATGTGCATACCTATGCAACAATCCTGCATGATCTGCACATGTACCCCAGAACTTAAAGTATAACCAAAATAAATAAATAAATAAAAAGAAACTCTCTCCCCATAGCTACTTCAGAAGTTAAGGCAGAGATTAAAGATTTGAGGGAATCCATTGGTTAGGGTGCCTTAGAATTGGGGATAGCTGTGGAATATGACAGAGAGAGTTGCACAGAAGCTTCAGGAGCTTCTGGAACAATTACTACCATTTAGGATTTAAAGCAGCTGAGCAGGTTGAGGAGAATTCAGGTTATTTAGTCCAGTGGTCTCTAAACTACTTTGATTGTACATCCTATCAGTTAAGAAAATTTTTGAACCTGCTTCCCAATATATGTATGTTTCTTATGAATTACCTGCATCTCTCATTATGCCAGTGTGCCTTATAAAAAATACATTCACACAAAACAGATCTTAAGATAATGAATTAAAAAGTAAATGGAGGCTGGATGCAGTGACTTGTGCCTGTAATCCCAGCACTTCAGGAGGCCAAGGCAGGATGACCACTTGAGGCCAGGAGTTCAAGACCACCCTGGGCAACATAGTGAGATCCTGTCTCTATTTTTAAAAAATAAAAGTAAATGGAAATAAAAGTTTTATTTTTTTCCTGCTCCTGAAATTCATGCCTTTCCTTTGCAGAACACTATGGTAGAGTATCTTGAGGAAGGGAGTATTTTGGTGTTTCTTGGAGTATGGTCTGCTCCACTGGCTTCAGAATTACCTGGAATATTTATTAAAATGCATATCATTAGGCCATACTTAATGAATCCATGAAGGTAGGGCCTGGTTGTCTTCATTTTTGTTGCATTCTTTAGGGAAGTTTTATACACACTAAAGTTGAGAGCCACTGTTTATGGATATTTTTTCCTTGGTAAGCTTGATTGTCCCTTGCCCAGTTTATCAACCTGATATCTTTGAAAGGGATTCAGGGAAGAATATGCACCCCTACAGTCTTTCTATTTTTGTGCCATAAAGGTAAAGATGTGTACATATCTGTGCATTTTTATGGGGATACATTTTCTTTAAATTGTCATAGGAGTCTGTGGACAAAAAAAAAATTGGTTATGGATAACTGATGTGAATTCATCTGTAACCTACCAGTTTTCAGAGGAAACCATTATAATATTCTTAACCTCAAGGCTCTATTGGGCATTATTTAATCTTTTAAAATTATATAGAAAGTGTTTCACTGGAGTGTGAACATTAACTCTTATTTTGTGGTTATCTAAATGTATCAATTGAACATTTTGGTTAATAGAAAACTAAATAAAATAATTCAGTTTGGGGCATTCTAAGGTTGAAGTGTCAGAGGGAGCCATGGGGACCTGTCCTTTGTAACTAAAGTTTATTATAATGTATGTATTTGCACGTACTTAAACTAACATACAGCCATTGTTTAATTGGCCACTTATATAGGAGAAGGGAAGAAAGGAACAATATCTAAGTAAAAAGTAACCTAATTTAGCTTTATTCTGGGGAGAATGTTTAACAGGCTTTTAAAGAATTAATCAGCTTTTTTAACTGAAGAAATAATTTACATTCATGATGATAAATTTAACAGCACAAAGATATTGAAAAGCACACCTTACTTCCACCTAAAACTCCCTCTCCCTTTTTTCCAGAGGCAACCACTAGTAATAGTTCTTGTGTATCTTTTTAGAAATATTATTTGCCTCATCTTTTGTCACTTTGTTCTCTCCTTTCTCATTCCCTCTTTCCTTCCTACCTAACACCATGCTTCTTTCACCTTACAGTTTCTTAGAGGTTGTTCCATAATATCCACTAGAGATGTACATCACTCCCTTTAATGAGTTGGCATATTCCATTATATAAAGGGATCATAACTTATTTAAGTAAAATTGAGGAATGATTAATTGTGTCTAGTCTTTCATAATTGGTATTGCAATGAAGGTCCTTGTACTAATGTCCCCTGAGCCTTTGTAGGGTATATAGCTATGTATTTCTAGAGTCTTTACACTTATAGAAACTTCTCTATAGGAGACTTCACTTACACGAACTACATACTTATAAGTAGAACTGCTGGTGTGTGCATTTAAATTTTGGTAGCCATTGCTAAAATGCCTTTCAAGACCTTATACTGATTTAAAGACCTTGTGAGTGCCTGTTTATTCATTCTCATGTCAGCAAGGTGGTACCAAACTTTTTAATCTCTGTCAGTATGATAGTTAAAAAATGGTGAACAGAGCTGAATTTGTTTTAGTTATCATTCAGAGCTTTCCTTCATCCATTCTTATTAAATTTTCAATGACTCTTTTATGAGTTGGACAGTTGTGGCAGTTGGGATGGCACAGATTCTTTATGAGCCAAGTATTTCTGTCAAAGCAACATTGCTTCCCAGGCTGACTAAGTTACTATGACTGTCTTAAAGCCAGCCAACCTCTGATCTGTTCTTGCATCCTAAAGTTCTGGGGTTGGAGTAGCAGAGACTGAAGTGGGGATTCTGAAGAAAAAGGGCAAGATATATTCCTGTCATTGCTGAAGGTTGGCACCAATCCCACAGGTCATTATTACTCCCTCTTCTCCACTCCTCCTTACTCTACCCTTTCACCTGGTACATGCTACTGATGTTGTTTGTCAGTATAGCCATCTTGGAAGTTTGAATTTGTCCGCCAAGCTTGTACACATTATCATTGTCAGTAGGCTTTATTTTTAATGTAAAACATAAGAGCCAAATATTTTTACCACTATAAATCAAATAATGGCAAAATCAGAGCCAGGCATGTTTCTTCCAGCAGTATCTTCTGACTTGCACTCTATACTAGTAACCTTTTCTCAGCTTTATTTTTCTTCCCTGATTTTCCATTTATCCTAATTTTCTTATCTGTTTATTTTATCTTGTATGTGGTTTTTATGAGTTTCAAATACCTTTTAGAAGAAAATGCAGAGTATTAAGTAATAGCAAAAATTAAAACAAGGAAAGGGAATTTAAAAAGTAAAAAAATGCATTCATTTATCATTTGATTTGTAATACCTCTGCTTTATTTATGTAGATTCCTTCTATTAGTATTTGAACAAATGTCATGAGGTGCTGTGTTCATATTTCTTTAGCTACTCAGTAGACTAATAGAAGCCACAACCCTGGGACAATTCTTGGCACAGCGTTGCTCAATAAATAGTTTGTGGAATAAATGGACCATGCATACATTCCATTTGGCTTATTTTTTCCTTGGATTTTAGAATAGTCAGTTTCTACTTTCTGGAACGGTCCGAAGTAACCTTCCAGTAACAGCCTCACTCGGCAACCCATCCTTATGTAGAAGACCATATGAGTTAGAGAGTCTCCAGGCCCTATCTTTTGAGAAAGTCTATGGACATATTCCGCTTTTGCTGGATTACAGTTAAACCATTTAAACCAAACCTGAAAGAATAGCTAAACAGTTGAGTTTATAAAAGGTCAGTTGTATTTCAACATACAGCCATCAAAACACCTATGGAGTGAACCATGCTTATATTTCTTTACATCGAGTTTGACCCTATCTCCCATTCTTACTCGTGGCAATTTTCCTTTTAGCCTTACCAATTTTTTTCTTCTTTACAGATTGCTTGCACACATTTGGATGTGGATTTAGTCTGCATAACTGTAACAGAGAAACTACCATTTTACTTCAAAAGACCTCCTATTAATGTGGTAAGTGTTACACTTTCCACTCTGTATTTGAATCTTAGAAACTTACATTAGCAAATTGGAAAAGGAGCAGAAGAAACCAGTGTTCTTAGAAGGAAAAACTAAGGCTAGAGAATAGGAGGTAGTTTCAGAAAAGAGAATTTCAGTTTTGAAAGCTGAACAAAGGGAGAAAGAAAGCTTAAAATTAAAAATATCCAGTTAATTATTAAGATGTTTTCAAAAGGCAATAGAAAACAAAATTTATGAAGGGTATTTCTTAAAAGGATAGCTACTAATCATGGGTACTTATAACCTAAACATCAACTGTTAAGGGAACAGAGCAGTCGAAAAAGAAGGGGAAGGGAAAAGATAAAAAGCAGAGGATCCTTGAGGCACCAGCAACCTAAAGGGAGTCAAGAAGGAACAGGGCCTGGCATCCTATAGACGTGGTCTATGCAAAATTTAAATCTGTGTTGAAGCATGCTTATTCACAAAGAGTCCAGATTTACTTTATATTAACCTAATAGGATGGCCATGTATTCAGAAAACTTTTTTGTTTCTCCCTCTGCTAGAGATTTTTCCTCATCTTCTACATAGTTTTTTCTTGTTTTCCCATACCCTTCATCTTCCATCTGTCATGCCTTCTTCTAAGTCTTAATTTCCTTCAATTCCCATCAGAAGGTGATATTATTTCACACAAGTAACTATTTTAGTAGCATAAGGTCAGCACAGCTCTTAACTATTTGCTTTGCCAATCAGATCCTAGGAAGAGTTGAGATGCTATTTTAGAATAGGGGCTTCCAAAACCCTACTTAGTCTCCTATTCTCAAAAACTGCTATCCAAGGAGAAAAAAAGAGTTTAGCAAATACAGCCCAAATTACATATCCAATCCTATCAGAATCAGAAGATTAATTTTTTTAAGAAGTTTTTCAAGGTGGATAATTCCCCTACTCATTTGCCTCTGTAGTATTATAACTTTCAATTCTAATTCTCTTTGCTGCTAAGGAATTGGCTTGAGACTTAGGGGGAGACAATAAGATGAGAAAATGGAAAATTGATATGTGAAAATTCAATGTGGCAAAAAAATTATTAGAGATAGGGTCTTACTCTGTTGCCCAAACTAGAGTACAGTGGCATGACCATAGCTCTTTGCAGCGTCAACCCCCGGGGTCAAGTGATCCTCCTACCTCAGCCCCCTGAGTAATTGGGACTTCAGGTGGGCTACCACACCCAGCTAATTTTTTTATGTTTTGTAGAGATGGGGTCTCACCATGTTTCCCAGGCTGGTCTCAAACTCCTGGCCCCAAGTGGTCCTTTCACCTCAGCCTCCCAAAGTGCTGAGCTTACAGGCATGAGCCACCATGCCTGGCCCACCTAATGTGGAAAATTTTAGTTAACCTATATTCTACCCCTAAAAATATGCTCAAACTAAAAATATATAATAATATATTTCAAGGAAAAAGTATAAAAGCTCTTGTCAGGTAAACATTGACAGTGCTAGTGAACATAACAATATTGGCTAAGCTCAAATCATCGGTCCCTTGTGTTGTTCTCAGTACTTATAAATAAATGAGGAAACAGTGAAAAAACCTTGAATCACCACATTTTCAAGTTGGAAATCTACGTTGTGCAACAGCTCATTTGTCAAATGTGGGGAAATAAAAAACTGCAAGAAGTTATTCAGCTCTTTAGTCACACGGGGTTAAAAAGTTCTGATTGATTGCCTGTCAAGACTCTGATGTGCCCCAAGTACCTATGATAAAAGCCACAAATTAATACAGTACACAAGCTTATGACAGTCTTTTTGGCCTCACATTGTTTCTCTCCAGAGGTAGCAATCTCTGCTTTAGAAGTTTGCCTAAGCTTTTTACCAGCCTCAAACGGCCAATCCAGTTTTTATGGAAGTAGCACCCCCAGAGTTGGGCACTATAGCCACTCAGCAAATTGCTAGTTAACTTAGAACTTTTTCACCTTTTTCTTCACCTTAATGAACTAAGAAGGTCATTTTCTAGACAGCTTTGCCTGAATAAGCCCTCCTACGATACTGTGACCTTGGTTGGGAGGAGCTAGTAGCATGTGATGCCAAGGCCAAATCCAAGGAATGGACAGCAGTGCACAGCACGTAATTCCCCATGTCTCACGACCATAGTAAGATTCCCAGTGGCTGCTTTGGTGAGAGCTTTTAATTGGGGTTCTTATGAACTTGTATTATTGTTTAAACCAGAGTGTGAGCTTCTGGAGAACAGCAGCTATGTCATGGTCCTTTTTTAAGTACTCCACTATCTTGCCTATAATAAATCCCCCTTAGTTTGTTGATTGAATAAGTACATGTTGAGCTTAGCATATCAGGGTACAACATAGGGGAGCCGGCCAAATTCTGCTTGTTGATAGTCGCTAGCAGGATGTCTGCATTTAGCAGGAAGTATATGCAGTGAGGGAGGTGGGGCAGTGGTGCAACATAAGAACAGTGGCATTCAAGACAGTGACACCAGGGCACCCTACCTCCTGATTCCGTTGGGAAGTTCAGGAAAGCTACTTTTGTTTGATGAGCATTTTTGGCTTGATTCCCACATTTTTCAATTTAAGAATTCTGAAAAGTAAAAAATTTGTCAAGTGAGAGGGATATGCAGTTTAACACAGTGTCTGCTTTTAAAAAAATCTGGTGTGAACATTTTACATATGTTGTTTAATAAAAACTAGATGATGGAATGGAAAGAAAGGCTGTACAAGATTATTTTTAGTCTTCATCTATTAGAGAAGTAGGCTGCAGTGTGAATTGGTCAGGAAGCAGAAGAGTCCCTGTTAATTTATTCACCTATGTTTTATTAAAGAGAGAAAAGTTGGAAACATACAGGTGTCCAGCTTGTTGTTCAGAGTAAATAATAGTTGTGGTATAGGTATGTATGTATTATTTGTCACATAATATCCAATCTGGCTGTGGAGCTGTTTGTCTACATAAAGTATGGAAATGTGTACATTGTAAGAGCACAGAACATGTAGTAAGTAGGTGTGGGTAATAGCTCAGTCTTAAGCCTTGGTCCTTGCACGTTCCCTTGGCTTTGAGGATAAACTTGTCTTTGGCCTTGAGAAGTTTATAGATTGGCTTTAAAACGATTACTTTATAAGGATTACTTTTTTTTTTCTTTTGAGACGGAGTCTCACTCTGTCACCCAGGAGTGCAGTGGTGCCATCTCAGCTTTCTGCAACCTCCACCTACCTCCTGGGTTCAAGTGATTCTCCTGTCTCAGCCTCCCAAGTAACTGGGATTACAGACGTCCACCACCATGCCTGGCTAATTTTTTTGTATTTTTGGTAGAGACGGGGTTTCACCATGTTGGCCAGGCTGGTTTTGAACTCCTGACCTCAAGTGATCTACCTGCCTCTGCCAGGATTACTTTAAATTAAGCACAGATCTTAATTTTGTTAGAATTTGGGCCCATTTCTTTGGTTGTGGTGAAAAGCAGTATTAAGAGAGGAAAGTCATTCATCTTTTACCAATAGGCCAGATGCCATGTGAGGCATCAGCTTGGAAGGTTGGGTTTACAAAGGCGCTCTAGAGCAGACCAAACACTCCATTTGTGTACTTTTTAGCTCTCTCCCCTTTTGTCATCTTCACTGCATGCTTAGGGCTCCATAATTTCAATTATTCGATTTCCTCTAAAATCTCCCACAAACCTCTTCGGGAGTCTAAGAACTTGTCATTGCAACTCTATCATATGATAGATGTGTTTCTAAAAAATTAGGTTCCACTCCTCTTCTTGGATAATCAAATGACTTCAGATTATTTAGCATTTTCTAACATAAGCAGTTTGATACCTGCTGTGGCCCAGCAGCTTTGGGATGGGGTAGATGTTAATTATCTCCATATGCAGGTAATACAGTTGAATCTCAGGTAGTTCATGGTTCATGCAGTTAAATGACTCTCTCAAGGGATTGACTAGGATTTGTACTCAAGCTTTGATTCCAAATCTACTGTCATTTCCTACTGGGAAATGCTATTTAAAGTTGCTTTACAGCAGAACTCTTCATTAAGCACAGAGTAATTTCATATTTTAAAACATGAGGTTTATGAATTCAGGTTGTGAGAAGAAGGATGTTCTTAAAGCAACATGTATCTTTACCTTCCCTTTGATTTTTTTTTTTCAGTGTTATTTCCATTTCGATGTTAGTGACATTTAACAATAACTTCAAGCTTATTGAGTTATTTTAGGGGATCTTGTATGTTTTATTCTCTCTCTCATGTTTTTTCCTCAGTCCTTTAACCCTAATCCATTTCTGTTTTCATGGTCTGATTACTCTTCACTGAGAGATGTTTATTAAGTAATGTCTAAAGCAGTGAGTTAGTTCTAGGGATCATGCTGTAAATACTTGATTTCGATGTGAGTATTCTGTAAACGTTATCACATGTGAATCTAATATGTTAATAAGTACTGTGTCCATTCAGTGCTTGCATCAGTGTCAGCAAACTGTGCCAGTGTTAAAAATTTCTGTGACAGAAAAAGAAAAGCCACTGGAAACAAAGTGAAAAGATGACAAACTGATGAAAATATTTTCACTCATGTCATAGACAAGGTGTTTATCCCCTTAACACATAAAAAGTAAAGAGTGCCTAGAAATTGAAAAATTAAAAAAAAAGATGAACAATACAAAAAATGGTTTAAGAATATGAAAAAGTCATTTCACAGGAAAGGAAATACAAACAGGCCTTAAGCATATGAAAAGATTATTAAATTTATCATAATAAGTGGTTCCACATTAAAATACACTCTGTTATAAGGCTGCAGTAAAGCATACATTCTCATACTTTGCTGGTAACGGTGTAAATTGGAATAATTCCTTTGTGGAGGGTGGGTAATTTAGCCACAACTGTTCAAATTATAAATACATGTACTGATTTAAAAAACAGTTTTAAACTGTATGATCTCACATTTCTGAAGCCTAGAAGTCTGCAATCAAGGTGTCAGCAGTCTTGTTCCCTCTGAACTCTGTAGGGCCACCTTCCTTGCCTTTTGTTAGCTTTTGGTGATTTTCTGGCAATCTTTGTAATCCTGGGCTTGCAGCTACATAAATACAGTCTCTGCTTTTGTCTTCGTTATCCCTGTTTGTCTCTGTGTCATCACATGGCCATCATCTTATAAGGACACCAGTCATGTTGGATTAGGGGCCTACCCTATTCCAATCTTACTTCATCTTAACTAATTACATTTACAGTGACCCTATTTCCAAATACAAGATTACATTCTGAGGTACTGAGATTTAGGGCTTCAACATATCTTTTGTGGATGAGGACACAATTCAACCCATTGTGCCTAGCAATCCCAATTTAGTGTTACTCTACAGATACACTGAAACAATCCAAAGTTTATCAGTAGAGATTTGGTTAAATACATGATATACCTCTACAATATAATACTGTGCAACTATAAAACAGAGGAAGTTATGAGGTGACATGGAAAAGCTTTCATGTCAGGACAAGAATGTAGCAGACTACCTTTTGGATAAGAAAGAAAAATAATATCTATTCATATTTGCTTGTAGCTGTATGAAGAAACTCTGAAAGAAGACACAAGAAATTAATAAAAGTGGTTATTGGAGGAAGGGATAGGGTAGACAGGATCAGAGATGCAAATAGTATTTTTGATTATTTTCTTATATTCTTTCTTATGCTTTGTGAGTCATGTGGTCAAATTACCTATCTTAAACACTGAAAGGGTGTCATTCATTTGAACTGAATAAAGAATTAATTTTATGACAGTAACAGAGAATCAGTACATTGTCCCAGTAATCAGCTCCGTATTTTCTTCTCTTCTTTTCTCTAAGCTTTGCTTAATACTTGGAATTTTATTGCCAATGTCTCTTGATTCAAGTATCACACACCTGTCCTTAGTAGCATCTTTATGACTGTTATTTTTCATTAGTAAAGAAATCTGATCATCCACCCATGCCAGAACCTTTGGTCAGACGTGGGAACAAAAGCTAATCAGGCACTGTTAGGAAGAGGCCTTTATGAACAATCATTTGATGAGCTTAAAGCAATTTGCATTAAAATGATCTTACAGCAACAAACCAGGTAATGAGTCTGTATTTTATCCATCTAAAAATTTAAAATAAGGTGCTGTGAAAGAAATATTCACAACCTTCAATAGCACATTATTTTTCATTTTTCAAGAGTTCTTCTAGCAGTTTTAAAGTGAACTTGATTAATATACCAAGATGAAAATCAGAACCTTTTTCTTAAAAAATTATTATGCTGATAATATCCTTTTTTTCTCCCCTCCCCCTACAAAAGTTGTTTTTATTTTGATTTAGTCCCCCACAAGGGCCTAGAAAGTTAGATTCAGTCAATTAGGAAAGTTTTGAGATCTAATCATCCAACTCTGTATATCATTCACCTGTTTCATTTGTTTCCCCTCTTCTTCATCCTATTGCCTTGTGTTATAGTTCCACAACTAGACGGATAACAAAAAGAAATACAGGTCAGCCTCTTCAGCTAATTAGTAGTTTTGGTAAAAGGTATAGCCGAGGAGATAGCTGATATTAGGGGTAAAGGGATGTTTTTGTTTATCTGTGGCTTTTGGTTAGCCAGGTACATCGAGGTTCATTTTATGATGGATAGTCCATAATGAACAACATTATCACAAGACATCTTCTCCATAAGTACTATTTATTCACTCAAAATATAAATATATTACACACCTTTTATATAAAAGGCAGTCTAACTCTCAAGAAGTATACAAGCTTGGCAGAGAGAATGAGATACAGGCTCAACTATGACAGAAAGATTATCTTAACAAATGTCATTCCCAGAAATAATCAACAAAGGTAAAAGAATTAGAGATGGGGAAAAGTCAAAAAATGAGAGAGGGTAAGGTTGCAATGTGGAAAATAGGATTTAAATTCTAACTAAACTAGCATCAGAAATACAGGAAAATCTAAAATAAAATCTGGGAGCCTTAAAGCCAGAGGAAGAGTTAAGGAAATCTGTGTTCAGGAAGGTAAAGAAGAAGGGACCTTCAAGGTACAACCTAATTAAATCAAGGTGGACTGCCAGTTCTAGAAAAAGACAAGTTTCTCCATTTCCTGTAAATGCTCGGGAGTAAATCCAGTAGTCACAGCTGGGCCAGTCTCAATTCATACTCTGGGTAATCGAAACTAATTTGCCAAGAAGAGACTCGGACCATACTGCCTAGAGCATGCCTTCCATTCCTTCTTTATTCATTCAAAAGAATACTGCCACCCAAGTGACTTTAGCAATTGAGTCTGATTATCATCTCTATGCTGAAAATCCTTCAGATGCTTCTCCATTAGGAATGATTAGGAATGATCCTTGTCACCAGCTCTAAAGGCCTGCACAGTTGGCCCTTCCCATCCTCTTTAGCTTGTCTTCATTATTTTTCTCCAGCCATTGACCTTCCCTACCTGCTGCCATGATGAAACCTTGAAGCATTTCACATGCTCTTTCCTCCCTCTGAAAGAAAATGAACCTTTCTCTACTATTTAACTACTCAATTTCCTCCTCACCCCCGTCTAAACTTCTCCTTGATAGCACTTATTACAGTTGAAATTTTGTATTTTGGTATGGTTGTTGATCATCTCCCCAAATAAAATGTAAGCTTTTAGAAGGGAGGAACTGTCTCAGCTTTTGCTTTTGCACATAGTGGGCTTAAAACATATCTTTTGTGAATGGATGAAGACATTTAGGTGTTCATTAGGAAAGCTGAATAGTTGTGGTTAATTTCAATCTCATTTCCACTTATCCATTTACCTATGAATCACAATGTAGTAAGAGTACATTAAATAAGAAAGAAGTTTCCTTTTCTCATTTAAAAAAACAAGCTTAGGATGGTGGCCATGGAAGTTGGAATCCTAAGGAGTGTGTAACAACTCACCTGCTGAATCAACTAGCCCTGAAAATGGATGGCGCTGGAGTTTAAAATTTTTTTTAAAACAAAGCAAAACAAAACAAAAAAACAAGCTCGTATGATGAGCTGGGCAAAATCTTCAAGGGCACTTCCATCTTTTTTGCTAGGCAGCTGTGAACCCAGCTAAAAATCAGGGGCTTTATTACTAAAGAAAAATGAGAGGACAGATATCTGGCCAATTAGCAGTCTTTGCAGTAATGCTTTACAAAGTTATTGTAGTAAGGATTAAATATTATACATAAGACTCTTGGCATATAGTCAGCACTCAATTAACTATGGCTGTTATTCTCTCTTCAACATATAGGTAATAAATTACTTACCTGAAAGGCCTTCCCACCCTTAGTTCTTTGGGCTCTTTATTTCTTTGTCTCTTTGTGCATTCATGGGTCAGATTACTTGGTTTACTATATTTGCATACAGTTTAAATGAGTTTAAATGTAGGGAGAACATCTCTGTTTTCCTTTTGATAGTTCACGGAGTAATAGCCCCTCTGCCACCCCACTGGGACTTTGTTCTCCTTGGCCTCTTCATAATTCCTGTTTATGTAAAGTCAGCTTCCCTACATCTAAGGTAAATTCTTATTCAAATAGAGCCATGGACTTATTTTATTCTCCTTGTGGGTACTGCCATTTTACTGTTAATCTGTCTTTCATAAAGCTGTACCTTGACATGTAAGAGGTGGGTGGTGGGGGGTGAGGAAGGAGGTGAAGAGAGAATCAGTGAAAATGAAGTAGGCCAGTGCATGTTTATATCTGACAGTTTGTTTTATTTTCTGTGAAGGCAATTGACCGAGGCCTGGCTTTTGAACTTATCTATAGCCCTGCTATCAAAGACTCCACAATGAGAAGGTATACAATTTCCAATGCCCTCAATTTGATGCAAATCTGCAAAGGAAAGGTACGGTTCTATAATTTTAGGATGTTTTTCGCATCTGGCAGTTTATTATTAGTAGTACACTGGAATTGTCAAACTGACTCCTTTTCCTTAAAGCAGAATGTTCTCAAGGCATAGGATCAAATTCTCCCATTTCAGTGAGCTCTGCAAGTTTTAAGGGAAAGAAAAATACTAAGAAAAGAATAATATAAGGGAGAAAAAGTTGTGTTGGAAGCCATATCTTTTGATAAAAATTTACAATTTATATACTGTGAAAGAAAAGTCTAGAATAACAATTGTTGGCATCACTGAGTTGATTTAAGATTATGTGACCTTCTCATCTTGTTTTTTAAGCTTAATTCATCTTTACTGAGATCTGTTAGGAAAACATACTCTGTTTTCTGTTACAGATTGCCTTTAGTTCGACATAAAGTCTTTCATTTTTTTCACTTTAATTATGTACCTTATCTTTAAAAGAAGTTGGTATTTGTGCCTTAAATGTTAAAATGTGATTACTGGCTATTTATATTATGAAACTCTTTCCTTTTTTTTGCATTTATCTAAGATTAATATTAATTACTTTCTATTTTGTAGAATGTAATTATATCTAGTGCTGCAGAAAGGGTAAGTCTAGCATGAAGTACTTTGTTTTCATCTTTCAGGTTATAAAACTGCAGTTTCTAGGGGATAAATTAAAATAGCAAGTGAATATTTGTTGCTTTTTATTTCTATTTTAATTACATTTGCTCATTGTAATTGCTAAACAGTAAAATTTATCCCCATTTTCTTTAGGTTTTAACTTTTGTTTATGTAATTAGTTTTTCTTCTATACTGTTATAAAGTGCTTTTCAGGTTTCTCTTATATTTTCAAAAACTATAAAACCCGTCAAAATTATAAGGACTTAAATTTATGTAATTTTTTTGGCTTTCGATACTTAAGTATTCTGTTAATTTGCTATAAGTCATTGAAATGTTATAAATAGTTTTCTCATCTCTACTTTTTGTTCATTGTATTTCAGCCTTTAGAAATAAGAGGGCCATATGATGTGGCAAACCTGTATCCTTTTCTGAGTAAAAAGTTGTTGACATTGTCTTTCAGGAAATTTGGAATTTGAAGTCATATTATAGTTTAACATGATGTTTTTCTCAACCTTTTACTGTAAGTTTACCAATTGATAGCTTCAAAAATAAATTGTATAACATTATAGAGAGCTTTATACTTCTGTTTTTTTAATTAATCCTGAGATAGAAAAGAGTGAATGAGGGACTTCATATTAAAAAGCTTAAAGTTAAATGAGTCTTTTCTCAGATGTATGTTCTAGTTGGACTAAGAACTGCTGTTGAATTAATTAGCCTCTCAACGTGACCAGGTTAGCTGGCACTTTGAGTTATGTTTGTTTTAGTCTCGTGTCCTTAGTTGACTCTGGGTTGAAATCTTTAATGCTTCCCCAAGAGGCTTGCTGTTTGGCCTTTCTGAAAGTGATGCCAAGGCTGCAGTGTCCACCAACTGCCGAGCAGCACTTCTCCACGGAGGTAAGCAAGTTCTTCCAGTAAAAACTGAATGGTCATGTTAGAAGCAAGTCATTTTTATCAAACAGTTAAAGCCATACCTATTTTTATTGTTCTACCCTGCAGAGTTCCTTTGGAGTTATCTTTTCTCAACCTGTTGTAACCATACCATCAGTGTTTTCTCACCCTCACTTCAGGCTTTATTTTCTATTGTTTTTAGAATGAATATAGCTTTCATTGCAGAAATGAGTATTGGAAAGTTCCTTCCAGCTATACATGTGTGCTTCTGCCCACATTTTGATAGGCTTCTAATCTCCCTTCCTTCTTCTTTCTTGCTGAAGGGGCATTCTTTCCCTGTTGAAAATCTCTGTTTTAGAGAACTGATATGTTAAAAAATATATGTTAAACTATTAGAGAACTGATATGTTAAAAAATATATGTTAAACTACTTATTAGGAAAACAAAAACAGCAAATACATTTTTAAACCAACTAACAAAACACAGACTGTAACTTTTACATTTATTAAAACTCAGAATGTTTCTTTTCCCATGTTTGCTTACATGGTCAAGTGTGTACAAACTGTACCTTTTTTTTTTTTTTTCTTTTTTTAAATAGAGACAGAGTCTCACTATGTTGCCTAGGCTGGTCTTGAACTCCTGGGCTCAAGCAATCCTCCTGCCTCAGCCTCCCAAAGTGCTAGGATTACAGTCATGAGCCACCATGTCCAGCCAGACTGTACTTTTTTTAACTCAGGTTCTGTATATGTACCTCTTCACTGACTGAATTTCTTATTCATCAGATGATAAAAATTGAAAGTATGCTGAAACATGGGAAAATTAAAATGAAATTTTATTAAAACAACTTAAACTTTTGATCACTGTTTTGCCTTCACTATCTTTATAATTCTTAGAACTAGTCATAGTGGTTAAGAAGCAATTTAGTTGATATCACCCAAATGAACATTAAACTTCAAAATAGATTGCTGCATATAGACTAAGTTATTTGTCATATGAATAGCTTGGTTATTGAGGACTTGTGTGTTGTGTCTGGACTTTATTGATCTGATTTCCACTTGAGAGAACTACTTGTTGTATTGGCTTACCATAAGTTAGATGATTTTGCTTTTAGTTTCAACATTTTTAGAATGAGATTTTTGTATTATGTAGCCTAGAACTCATCATATAAGCTCTGGAAGTAATCAAAGTAATTGGGATTTTTACGATGATTTTCCTGAAATTGGGGAACAGTTGGTTCACACTTTGGTAATTCTGTCATTATTTTTATCTGTTTTAAATAAACAATTATCAAGATTTTGAGTAACACTTAAGGTTCCAAAAATGGGGCTAAACAAGATACAGAAACCAAAATATAAATACATATATAATTGTGTGTGTGTGTGTGTAGTCTTGCATTTGACTTTAAAAACTCAGCTATTCAGCATATAACATATAATATGTAAAGTATTTTTTTTTAGAATTTCTATATTTTTATGGGTACATAGTATGTATATATATTTATGGGGTACTGAAATATTTTGATATAGCTATTCAATGCACAATAATCACATCATGGAAAATGGGATGTCCATTTCCTCAAGCATTTCTCCTTTGTGTTATAAACAATCCAATTATACTTTTTTAGTTATTTTAAAATATACTATTAAATTATATTGACTATGGTCACCCTATTGTGCTATTATATACTAGGTCTTATTCATTCAATTTTTTTGTACCCATTAACCATCTTCACCTCTCCCTCAGCCCCCCACTACCCTTCCCATCTTCTGGTAACCATCCTTTTACTTTCTATCTCTGGGAGTTCAGTTGCTTTGATTTTTAGACCCCACAAACGAGTGAGAACATGCAATGTTTGTCTTTCTGTGTCTAAAATCAGGCTTTTATAGAAGCTAAACTTAAAGAAGACTTGCGAACATCAGGTGGCATTACCATGTACCCCAGTGTCCCGGGGACACTTCTAGTTTATGTCTGCCATTTCTGTGACCTTATTAGCACTTCTGTTACCTGAAAAGTGTCCTAAACTAGATGATAAAATAAGGTTACTCTGGTTTTAGTTGCCATCAGGATCACTATGAGACGGTATTATGATGTGTTCTTAAGATTGCTAATTCAGCTTGGGTAATAGTAGAAGAAATAAAGGATTCTGAGGCAAGGGAATTTAAAGTCTCATTATTATACTCTCATTGATGAAATCTCAGCTGGCATCTGTGTCATTCTCAGTGCCACATTTAAGAAGGATGGTAGTGCACTGAAACACTATTGGAAAATGTCTACTAGGTCCTTTAAGGGTCTGGAAACCTCATGATGAGAGGAATCATGAGGGTGGTGCAGGCATGGATGCCCGGCAAGCAGAAGACGGGACACATAGTAGTGGCCTTCCAACATTGGAAGGCTTGCCACAGGGAATCAGAATTAGGTTCTTTGGGGGTCCAGAAATCCAGAAACTAATGAGTAGCAATTCTGGGGAGGTTGTGGGGAAAGGACAGAAGAAGGAGGCTCAAGGTCAGAATCTTCGGCCTATGATTGACAAAGTTTATGCCCATAATCAGCCCCTGGGCCAAAATGAACCTGTTGGGGACACCTGCCTTAGCCCCTTGTGAACAAACTTACAATCTTTTAGATTTTCCTTGGCAAGATGATTAAAGGGAATAATATATGTGAAAATATTTTATAAACAAAAGCATACACAAATGTAACTTCTTGCCCTTACCGAGAAATAAATTTGTTTTTAAAAGACACTAAAGAAATTAATGCATTTTGTTAAAAAGTGCTGATTTTCACAATGTTTATTTCAGTTGATTTTTTAGACTGTGTACAGAATCAGTGATATAAATTAATAGTTATAAGTGTGACATTTTCATTTGGTGAAATGGAAATCATTGACAGTTTCTATTTTGAGGTTCTCATTATGTTGTTATTTTAATGACCTTGAAAGCAGTTTTATCCCTTTTATAAATAAAACTGTTTTAAAATAATTGGCAAAGTACATTTGCTAAGTTAATCTTGATAAATGGGAAAATAATGCTTAATGCTTTAGAGTTAACTTTACTTGTGTGTGTGTGTGTGTGTGTGTGTGTGTGTGTGTGTGTGTGT